TTTTATAAGAAAAGAATAATTATCAAAGATATAAAAACGCCAAATAGAAATTATCAGAGATGTGCACCTAAGTATTGGAGGTTCTGAACACTCCAAAGCAATATCGTGGCAAGAGCAGAAGTTAGAGATAAGTGGTTCAACGCCGCCTTTAGGAAAATTTTAAAATATCAGTAACGAAGGAGGCGTGAATTTCTTTTCAAAGTTCTTTCGCGGCGCTCTATAATAAGACCGTAATAAAACAGTGACAAAAAAAAAAAAAAAAACGGTAGAATTAAAGCCAATTCCAGTAACTTCAATATTATCAAATAAGTTGAAGTAGAAAACTGTAACCTTTCAGCGATTTATGGGCGTTTTTTAATTATCGTCTTGATTGATTTTTTTTCATAATGGTTAAAAGCCAAACCTATTTTAATAAGTAATGCGTTGGCATGGGTACTTTAAAATGCAAATCTTGTTTACTTACTAAAGTCAGGAATTTAAAAATGAGGTTTGTAAACAATATGAATTAACCAGAGCAAAACAGAGAGTTACGTCTGTTTATCACAAGAACTCTTTAGTAAAAGTTTCAGAAGGTAATCCTGAAATATGGCAGCAAATTATCAAGGGTATTCATTTTGCACACCACTTTGATATTTTTGTACTAACGATTTTCCATTTATGCTAACCACAAGCGTTTTTAACCACAATAATTGGCCACTTTTTCTGATTGATGTACAACATAAAGCAAAATAATTTTGCTTATGTACAAAAATAGATGAACTTTTTCCCTGGACACAAGTGTGAGACCCACGCATGTATCAAATCAACGTGTCATAAGTGAGCTCATTTAATTGAAGGTAAAGGTCATGTCTTACTTCCAAAGATATATTGTTACGTGGAAACCTATTAGAAACCCCTCCAATCTTAATGACAACGTAAATATTGTATATACACAAAAGCTCAGAAGAACAATGGAAAAATCCAGTTGATTAGCCAGTTTACTATCAAATTTTATTGGTGATAAAAAATGGAGATTTTCTTATTTTATCTTGACACCCTAAAAACACCTTGGTATACCATAGATTGAATCTTCTGGAATACGAAAGTGTGTCATCCAAGTTAATAATCTATCCAAGTTAGCATAACGAATGAACTCTATGAGCACACAGAGGCAAAAAATTCATAATTTTTGGCGGCCATCTTCAATTATTCTACAGTGTTAGTTGTCATTGGTTATTTGCATTTACTTCAAGTAGAAGGGTTCAAGTGTGCAATAGCCTTTGCACTAACATAACATCGATTTCAAAAATATGTTTGAAATCCCTCTATAAACCAATTGTTAAGATTGACAAGCTTGAAATAACATTTCTTTCGTTAATAAGCTGACTTTTGTTAATAAGTTTTCTTTCTTTAATAAGCTGACCAATAGTTTTTTATCGTTAATAAGCTGACCAATAGTTTTAATTAGTTTTAATAGTTATAATTGTTCTTAAAACACCAAAGTTATATATATAAAATTATGACGGCAGTGTAATTGGACATTATTTTATGCATATAAAAAAATGTAAAAATAAAAAAACACATACCCACAGTGACTGATCCAGAATTTTTTAGTGGGGAAAGGGGATGTTGATACCAAAAGAGGGCCTCTAAATTGAGAAAAAAATAAATTAATTATGGTGGGGGAGGGGATGCTACCCCATCTCGCCTCCCCCTTGGACTCGCCACTGATATCCAATTACTAATTTTAGTTTTTTTTATGCAAGGCTTTATTTTATTTTTGATGACACTACTAAATAATTTATAGAAAAAAAAACCTAACGCATAAATCTTTTTGTATATATAATAATATAAAATTTTTGGTTTGAAATTTTTTTCAAGCCAAAACTCATATATCCTAATAATTATAAAGCAGTTTTAGCTTCTTTTTCTTTACCATCTTGGCGCAAACTACAAAGTGATAACAAAAATAGTTCTAAAGATAAAAATGATGCAAATAGTGGTGCCAATCTTTTTATCTTTGTTTAACTACTTGAAGTATCAAAGTTTATCTGGGATCTGCCAAGTACTACACTTGGGATAAAAACAGAATTATTCTTATCAATGGAAGCAGTTAGAAAAATATTATTATTATTAATTGCTAACTAAACCAATATTAATTAATTTTGTAGCCATTCTTTGTTATTCTCTTTGAAACAAATTTTAGAGTCTTTGCGTTTACGCCACCTCAGCCAAAGATGCTATATGAAATAAGACAAGTTATTATTTGCAGTTAAGTTCATGAACTTAAGTTAATATATATAATTTATAAAAGCCGATTGCTTAAGCTATAAAATAGTATATAATAAAATAATTTTTGAAAGAAAATATTTGTGTTGAATTCAAAATATTAAAAATACCTTGTGCGATTCATTTGTCCATTGTTAAAGTAAAACAACACATTCTAAAAAATGCAACATTGCATTCCACACTATATTTCATTACACTCTTTACATGTTGTATATATATATTACAAGCCTGCAACTCTATATTATTCTTGTTATTAAACATTTAACAACCTTTCCATCATCAGATATAATACCTCTGAGTGCTACAAGTACTCAGTCAGTTAGAGCAAAAATAACAACTGGAAAATCCCAGGCGCGCATGACGCAAAATAACAAACATGTATTATATGCTTGGTTTAATGTGATAAAATGATGTAGACTGTAATTTTATCAATGACCACATATTTTAGTTGTACCTAAGGCAAAATGTTTTAGCTGTTCTTTTATACAAGGTAATATTTAAGCTTCTATACACTTAGATAACTTTTTACGCAACCTTTACACAACAGCAGTTTACACAAAAATAGTTTGCCTAAATTTTTTTCTTAGAAGCGGATGCATTTTTAATCCATTCATTACAAAAGTTGAAAAAAAGGCAAAAAAAATGGTTAAACTAAATTTATCTTTTTAATCCAAAGAAACTAGTTTTGGTTTTAGGTCCAGATTTGGTCCTAAAAAACCGTTTATTATTTAACAACTTTTTGACAACTGAAACATGCACAGTTTTTTTATTCTAACGTAAAATACAATCCGCGTCACTTTTGAATTGAAAAAAAAATTATCTTTCACGTTTCAAGCAAGCGAGACGGATTAATGAAGATTTTTTGCAGTTATATAAGTAACCGACATTTTGTAGAAAGTTATATAATTAATAAATAAATAAACCGACATTTTGTAGAAAGTTATATTGAAGATAATAATGTAAATGGTGTAACCAAAACAAACATGCTTTGTAAAAATTTAGATTTTTATATTTAACATAATATTAAAAAAATACTAAATCAATGGGATCTTGATTTATATCACTGGCCTTTTTATCTTTGTTTTTAATTATTTACCCTTTTCCATAGTTTCTTTTTTTACTTTTCTCCATTTTTTTGAAACATCAGTTAAATGTTTTTGGTGAATTAAACACTTAAATTAGTCATTAATTTTGAAAAAATGCATTAATGCATTTTTTCAAAAAGCTAAAAATTAAAAAAAAAACTTAATTTTATTTATATTTTATTTATATTTTTGTATTTCTGCAACAAGAAATTCAATAAATGATACCAAAGCTATACATGTTTGTTTGACAAAATAAAGTAAAAAATAACAGCATGTTTACTACTAAAAGTTTTATGCGTTAGCAACCATCAAAAAAAGTACATACCTTGCTAACGCATGAAACTTTAACTAGTAAACATTATGTATTTGTTTTTTACTTTAACTCGTCAAACAAATATATTCAGCTTTGATAACATTCGTTTAACATTGTTGTTGAAGAAATACAAAAAATTAAAATAAAGTATCCCAAATGAGCTGGGGAGGGGCGGGGTGGAGAAATTTTTGACAATTTCTAAAAATATCGGGATCTCATAACACTGCAAAAAATTAATTTATCAAATATTAATAAATAATAAACAAAATAATAATAATAGTCGATAATGCAATTGCATTACATAACGGGTAGTTTGGCATAGCCTATGCTAATAAAAAGACCAATAAAACATTACTCCTGGAAAGCTTTTTTTTTAACAATCTTAAAAATTTTTTCTGTTATACCTTGTAATGTACTGTTGAAATATCAAATCAACGTCGAAGTTCAAATTATGATTGATTTATCAGTGTTAGTCCTGCAATTCGGTCTTTACCCATAGTGCTTATCAGGCAAGGCTGTTGTCATAGTGCGTATCAGGTAAGAAAGTTGCCAAAGCGCTTTGATTGAGAAATTACCCAAGCGCACTGAATGAGCGTTCAGTCACAGCACTTCCTATAGCCAATATGCAGGCAATTGCAGAAAAATGAAAAAAAATGCAACCTAATAATAATGGGAGATTTAGAATAAAACTTGGTTTTATTATAACAAAAAGGAGATCATTAGGAAAACCGCCTAAATATAAAGACAGTTTTTTCATATGAAGATGAAAAAAAGATTTTAAAAGGCTGATAATGAAGTAATAAAATGACGAGCACAATAAGGAGAGGCAACTTTGCAGATGCAGGTTTGTGATGGGTTGTATATACAATTTCTATGAAAAGTTAGTAGTGAAAGATAGTCAGAAATAACATAAAGTAGAAGCCTAATTCATCTCAGTGTCTCATTTATTTCAGTGACTTGTTCATTATTTACCAACGTTGCTAAATACGTTAGAGCCGGCGTCGAACTTTGGATCTGTTAGTTCTGGGCCAGAAACTCTAGTCATTGCGCCACAGCTGCAGGTTTACACGGCTGCAGGTTACTCTCGAATGACATGAATAGTTTATTAGATTTATAAGATAAATAAACGATCTTTAAAAAATTATTCAACTTTTCTGTTTTAAAATTTACTGTGATTTTTGAAAGTTTAAAATTTTTGAAAGTTTAAAATTTTTTTTTCGCGTTTAAATTAGTATTAAGACTTTTATGCACTAAAAACTAAAAATATCCCGCTCTAGTTTTTATATGTCATTCTTTTTTTTGTACTTTTTTAATAAACAATTTTTTTTTTACAGAACAACCAGATACTGTTGCAGAAGCTGAGTTGAAATTAGAAAATGCTAATCGTGCTGCAGATCAGTTGACTGCACTTGAATTAAAACTTGGTATTGACCCGGAACACTTAGTAAGCAACACTCATCAACATATTGATGAACTTCAAGAACAAAAAGCCAAATTAGATTCTGATATTCGTGAACATATTGAAATGAGTAGTAACGCAGAAAGTGTTAGTAAAAAGTCAGAAATATCTCTATCAGTAAAACAACAGCTTGAAAAAGATCGTAGTAAAATTGATGAAATAAATACCGAACTTAAACAACTCAAAGACATTGAACTAATGGCAACAGGCTTAGAGGTAGCAAAATATTTAGCTAAAGAAAGAGCAAGACATAACCTTGAAGTTGCTAAAGCTGCAGCAGCAAGGTCTGAAATGCCGCCTAAACTAGTTGTACAAAATACACCTCCTCAAGTCTCATCTTTCTATCAAAGACCACAGTTTTATGGGCAGGTAGGACAACCATTTCCACCTCAGCAACCTGTTTATTCACAACCTATAGGTGCCGTTCCATTTATTCCAAGTATTAGTTTATCAAGTTACAATACTCGTCCATTCCAGGATAACCATCAGAAAGGTGAGCAAAGACATACAGAAAGTAGACCTGGAGCGCAACCCTCATTGACGGATTATTTGTCTAAATATATACAAACAAAGACTGCTGAAGAGAACGAGTTCCATACACCATCTGCTAATTTTAATTTTGCGCCGTCATCTTCGCCTTCATCTGTAAAATACTTTAGTCAACAACAATTACAAAACCCAATAAAACAACAGTCGCAACAGCAACAACAGCAACAAGCGCAACAGCAACAACCACAACAACCACAAAAATCACAACAACAATCTCAAGTATTATTGCAAAGCATTTCTAGCCCAATTTCTCAAATAAGTGCTTATACATACCAACCTGTTCAAAACTATCTTGCTAGTGGCTTTGGTGCTAATACAATAAGAAATCAGTTTCAATATCAAAAATATACTCCTGCTGTACTAGCGCCTGAGATTCATACTAACGCAGAATCACGTGATTCATCAACACAGCCCAACGATTTGGTAGGAAATGATCATATTGATGTACAAAAAGAAAACAAATCTCAAAACAATCACAATCACGACGATGATTGGGGCGCTATGTGGTTTCCTGGTACAACTTATTCTCCACCACCTACATGGCTTCAGAACCAAAATTTAAGAGGAGTAGATCAGCGTTTGCCAAATGGAGTACCACTTCAACAAATTCATTCTATTCCAAATGGATGGCAGAATTCTCTTTCACATCCTCCTATACCTTTTGTAAGACATGATTATCCCATATATGCTTCTGCACAAAGACCCTTTGAAGAACATAATCGTGTACAGCCGTTCTTTGCTACTTCTGATCTTAAAAATTATGAAAATAAAATAAAATCTCCTATATTTAACACATTTTATTCACCTCAAAACAGCCAACAGTTTGCGCAGCAAACAAGACTTTCAGGTTTAAATAACGCAGCTTATACTGTTAATCAACCATATATTACTACAGATCATAATATGGTTGCAGCAAATTTTGTAAATAATAAAGTAACTGATCTTCAAAGTACTTTATTCCCTGAAAGATTACATGGAGAATCACGACCTGGCTCTGCCATTGTTAATAGCTACGCACAACAACAACCACGAATTTCCGTCGGCGAAGTTTTGAATCTCTCACCACCTGATGAAACTATTATTTCAACTACTCCTGCTCCGTCTTTACCTCCGCCTCCTCCACCTCCACCGCCACCACCTCCGCCACCAATTTTCGGCAACGTACCACCTCAATGGGGAGCAGTTAATATGGCAAGATATGCGGGTGATGGTCTCGATAGAATGAGAGATCATCCAACTACAAATGGTTCTGGAAACAATGTTGCTACAAAAGGTTCAGAACAAAGTAGTCAACTGCGTAAGTGTTTTTTTTTTTTTAAGTTTATTTTTTATATATATATTTTAATTATATATATTAAAAAAACTTAGTAAGCGGCTTTTATATTTAATTTTTTTATTCTAACAAGCGGTATTTAAATAGATAGTTATTTAATTTTTTAAAATTTATGAACAAGTCTATGCATTTTACAATAAATAATAATGTTAGCAAAAACTGAACTGTTTTGAAATAAAGGACGTAAAATCTATTTTAAATTTTGTATATTATTTCTTAATATTTTGTTTTCAACTATTTCTGCTTATTTAGTTAAACGTGAATACCAAAAACTAGCTAAAGCAAATCAAAAGTTACAAGACACTATAAAGGCAAGTGAAGCCTTAACGCATATAGAATCTGCTATAGGTTTCGATCCCGGTTCAATAGCAAAAATGGTAGATTTTGTAAAAACTGCGGCAATAAAAGATGTTGAACTATCAAAAGACACTATAGAAAAGGACAACGAAATATTAAAAAAGATACAACGTGAAACTAAGAAATCGGTAATAGCTAAAAAGTCTGATATTGAAGATGACACTGCTTTAAGTCATGCTCAAACAAAGCTAAAAACGGATGAGGCTGTCCTTTTGGATGCCGAAGATCGTCTTGAAAAAATTAAACGAATGGAAATGATTGTTACAGAAGTTGAGGTTGCAAAATTTATTGCATTGCAAAATGCACGTAATGATGTTACCGGAGAGAATGAGCGCATTGATTCAATTAAAAGGGAACTTATTTCAAAACCAGTTCAAAGAAGAAGCTTAATAAAACAAAAAAAATAAATAATCTTTAATATTGTTTTGTCACTCAAATAGACAAAGAAAAAAATAGTTGCTAACAGATGTTGGGAAAACATTAAAATAAATTAACGGCTTTAAATTAACAATTTAAACTCTAATTGTGAAAATGGATCTTTTAAGTATGAAGAAAACCTGACAAAGTTTTCACTTTTTCAAACTAAGACAAAATAAAAAAAAGAAAATTATTCTACCGATGTCGTTTTTATAATAATTAAATAAAATAATATAAAATATTCTTAAATAAATCAAAATGTTAAACAATTTTACATTTTTGGTGGTGTATTACGATTGTGTTTAATTGCGTTTTTTAAAAACACAAGTATTTGTTAATTGTAATTTAGTCGTACAAATTGCATGATGTAAATTTGTAGATATTTATGTATATATGCTATTTATACGTAACTTTACTGCAGTAAAATTTAATTGTATGAATTAAAAAATAACTTAATAATATTAATTTTAATAACATTATATAAATGAATTTGATGTTAATTACAATAAGTAGATGATACTTAAAACAAATATTAGTTATCTTAACATAATTTCAATTTTGATTGTTTGTTTGTTCATCGAGTAAAACTTATTTGCTCCATTACCAATTGCTTACGTAGCAAAAACGTTTTCCTATTCAAAGCAGTATTTTTTTATTAATTATTAGAAATAAATATTCTCTTGTGTTTTTTACTTTTATTGCTGTATATTTTTTATTTAGTTTTTTATATTCATAATGGAATGTGTCTTTTTTTAAATATCATAGAATATAGAAGGTTGTATTAAAACAGAAATTAATTTATATTTCGTTGTGAAAAGTTAATAAAAATTGTAACTTGAATTTTGTGTAAAGTTTTGTTATGTAAACATGACAAGTACTTTGCTGTAGATAATGAGTGTAATGGGTGTTAAACAATAAGTGTACTGAATTGCGATAAATGTGATAATTCTACTTTTCTTTTTACATAATTACCTTCCCAGTGGGCACCGGACCAAAAAAAGACGTCTTTTGAACGTTCAAAAGACGTCTAAGACGTGTATAAGACGTTTTAAAGACGTTTTTGCATCCGTGCCCACTGGCTTATGTACGTCAATGCATCACGATACTGTACAGACAAAAAAAAGATAGAAACCTAATTACGTAAAAAAATAAAATGCCTTAGGACTAGTGTAAAAGACAAATTAACTGATGTTAAACCTTTATAAGAACAAATGAAAGCACTAAATCTCTTTCAAATAAATAATCACCTAATCTTATTTAGCTGGAAGAATATAGAGATATGTTTTTCGAAGTGTTTTTCTGTTTACATATTTCTATTGTCGCATTTGATATTGTCTTTTTATATATACAATACCATATCTCGGATTTGTATTATTCCCTAAATCTTTACTTAGTATAGTTTTTGGACTTTATATTTATGATATCTTTTTATATATTTATACCGTCAGGTTTAGGGTTAGGGTTAGGGTTTTTATTTAAATTTATATTTTAAAATAGCTAGGTATGATTAAAGAAAGAGATAAAACTTGTTTTATTCAAAAATACATACTCTAATATTACATATATTTACATGTAATTGAATAAAATCTACACAAATTTCTTCTCTTTTCCACCAACTTTTTGAAATAAAGCGTAATTTAGAAAGTCAAACAATGTTCCATTAACCGAGGGTTCATTTGGTCCATTGAGTTCAATATAAGAAGCTGTAAATAAAAAAATATATTAAAAAAAAAACAAAAAGGGAAGATTTAAAAAATAAATAATCAATGGAAAAGTGTTACAACTTATGAAGGTATATCTTTTTCAACGCCATATAGATTAGTGTTCTTAAAACATATTTTTCCACCTTTGCCCTTCATATTCATGGAGGCCATATAACTTTTCGAAAATACTCTGAATTTTTAAAAAATAATAACTGTTAGTTGGTTATTAATAACTTTTTCAAATATTTAATTTAAATAAAACAACCTTTTTAATATATTAAAAATAAATTAATAATCAAAATATAAAACATTTCTAGCATTGAAAAATAATTTTCGGGGTGGCCACATAAAATTTTTATAAGAAATTTTATGTGGCCATTTATTAATGGTTTAACGTCCATGTTTAAACACTTATGGGGCATGGACAGGGATCAAATAATGTCATTTGTTATGTTAAATAGCATGCATTTTCTAAAGAAATTTTTTACAATTCCATGCACTTTAAGGCGTTAACCAGTTTTGCAGACCGAGAATGGGTGTTTTGAACATTATACATCCATCAAAAATTAAAAAAGGAAGAATTAATGAGGAGCTTTGATCAAATTTTTACCTCTTTAGAGGATAATAGAGGATTTTAGAAGTGGTTTTAAAAAAAGAGGACTTTAGAGGATTTTAGAGGAGCTGCAGACACCCTGATTATAAATGAGGTAACTCCACCAATTAACTGTAATTGATTTACCTGTAAAAAAACATGAAGTAAATCTAATATTATGCTTGTGGTGATATACTATATTGTGGAGAACCATCCAAACCACGTAAGTGGAAAATTTGCATCCAAGTTTCCACTTGTGTGCAAATCTTGCATCCACTTGTCAACATTCTCATTATCACATTTTTCTTTTGTAGTTGTGAATTTAAAATTTTCACAATACTGTTTGCTTTCTTTTAGAATTGAAATAGTTATACAAATAGTTATATATTTTGTATCAACAAAATAACTCTTCTTACCACATTATTTAAAAAATAAAAATTGTAATATATAGATGTAATACCTGAAGAGAATTTAGTTTTTATTTGTATAAACTTAAGCAATTCTTCTCTGCATTTTAGTGCAGTCAATGCTTTGGTACCTGGAAGCCGACAAACAGTTTTATCACTAATTCAATTAGATGGAATTACTTCTTCTTGTAAATCTTCATTCCAAACAGCTCTTTTCCGCATATTCGATTTTGAAAAAATTACATGAACTAATATAAAATGAAGAAACCATAATATAAGTGTACTAACAGGCCTAATTAAACTAGCTAAATTTGAACATTTTATAACCACGATACTTGCTAAACAATAATATTAGTAGACATTATTAGCAAAGATAAGATTTTCTTTATTTTATAAATTTATTATATTTTAAACTCATTTTTATTAATTTATTTATTACTCTATTATTCAGCAGAGATCTGAATATATTATGTTCAAATAACTTAAGGCTCAATAACAAAAACAAATAATGAAAGAATACTAGGTTGCTAAAACATAAACATCTACATAAGATAATTATGGAATATTGAAAAAAAATAGAAATACAAAAAAACAAAAATACTCAATATTAATATAAAATAAAATAGTATAATATAAGGTATATTATAATATATGACACAATAATATCTACTTTTAATTAAAATATAAAAACAACAAAAAAGAAAAAAAGAAAATATTTTGATAAATAATAAATTATCATTCAAACAATTTTCAAGACCAAAAAATAACTTGTAACTTATTTTTTTACTTATCTTCATCTAATAAACATTACTTATTTTTTACTCATCTTCATCTAATAAACATTAATATTAATACCAATTTTAAACATTATTAGAATTTTTTTTTTATCAAAAAATAAAAATATTACATCACTTACTTTTTGGGCTTTTCTTATTTTACTTAAAACATCAACTCAATTCTAGACTTTTTTCATAATTGAGTTTTAATTTGTAATGTTGAATTAACACTGAAAAAAAAAATATTAGCAGACAAAAAGAAAATATTTCTTTATTGAAATATATGTAAATATTTCAATAAAGAAATTTTAGATCGATTTTTATAAATATAAATTTATATCAATCAATCTAAATTTTTTTCTTTTCCGCCATCTTTTCGAAATGAAGCGCATTTTTAGAAGTTAGACAAAATGCCATCAATTAAAGTTTCAGTCGCTCCATCGTATTTAATAGAAGAAGCTGTTAATAAAAAAGAATTAGAAAAAAAAAAAAAAAAAAACACAAGGAGAAATTTTTGAATATATAAAAAATGAGAATAAAAAAGTTTTACATATCTTATAAAGGTATACCTTTCACTACACCATATAAATTAGTGCTCTTAAAGCATATTTCCACCTTTCCCCTTCATATTCATGGAGGTCACAAAATTGTTGGAAAATATTCTAAATTTTAATAAAGAGAAAAGATATTAATTGTGCGAGAACTATTATTAATTTTTAGAAGTTAGACAAAATGCCATCAATTAAAGTTTCAGTCGCTCCATCGTATTTAATAGAAGCTGTTAATAAAAAAGAATTAGAAAAAAAAAAAAAAAAACACAAGGAGAAATTTTTTTTTTTCATTAAATTGAACTCATTATCAAACAATTTTTTTGCTAAATAATTTAATCCTTAAAATTCCTGAATAATTAAAAATTATTTTGATTACCTCAGCATTTTAAAGATATTCCATCAATTGCAATTGATGGAATATCTTTAAAATGTCACCTAAAAAAACAACAAGTAAAGCTAATATTATAGTTTGAAATTTTAATTATCTTTATACAAATACTCATCATATTTTTAAAGTGACTGATAAAAATGGATTTAATTAAAATCACTTCATTTGTATTAAAAAATTAGTATTAAAGCCTTAATCATACATTATACAAGAGTATTTTTTAATACAATCTAAACAGTTGTTGCGATATGTAATTTTTTATCCAAAATTTAGCTTCTGTAAGCTTTAGAAATTTTTTAAAGAAATTATTGATGAATTTGGAGCTACGGGTACTAATGTTTTTATATTGTTGTAATGTTTGTATTCATTCCCTGTTAGTTTCTGTAAGTCAAAATTCTAAGGTGTTTCCATAATAAATTCTGTTATATCTGAAATTTAGTGTTAGTCTAAATAATTTAATTTCTAAAATCTGTTTTGCATTGCCTGTCTTATAACATCTTTACTTGGAACAAAAACCATGTGGTTTAAAAGTGAGCTAGAAGCTTTCAACAATGAAGAAAATATTGCATTCACTAATCCTAAAAATATATTCAACCTGTCAGCAAAATCAGCTGTCGATAATCCAAGTATTAGCATCATTAAAAATTTATCTTTGCTGCATTACATTTATTTTGGTCCAAGTAGTTAAGGATTTTTTCAAATTTCAAAAAACAGAAGTAAATGTTTTTTTAATATCACTTTATCTCTTTTGATTAATGGTGATACTGCACTAACTGATGAAACACATTGACAGATGTAAGGCCAGTATAAAAGTCATAAGATCTATTATTTTTAAAATAAATGTTTGTATACAAGTAAATTGCAATAACACGATTTGTTTGGATTATGTTTATATACAAGTTTGTCTGTTTTCATAGTATTAACTGATATGGTTGAAGTTAATTTTTCAAATAAATCTTTATTTTTTAATTTCGTGCTGAAGTTCTTTTTTAAAGTTATCAATTTCCTTTTTTAATTCTTGATGCTCTATTAAAAAACAACGCTTAGCATTAAATTCAACATAATTTAATGGATCATTTTTTGAAAAAGCTGTATTATATTTACATTTAATAATATCAGTCTTTGAGCATTGTAGCCCAAGTTAAACGAAAAATATCGATTTTTAAACGATAATGTTCTTTCAGGAAAATTGTCTGAACATGTTTTCGATCTCTTGAAAATTCTATATGATATAAGTTCAGTATTTTTCACATTTTTTTTCCATTATAAATCTCTATAACTTTAATCGTTGAAATAATGTTTACGATTTTACTTCCAGTTCTGCGCGCGCATAAATTTTATATCGTTCTTTTGACAATGATTGTTGAAATAACGTTAAATAATCAACGTTTAAACTGTTACGTTGATTTAACGTTGAAATAACGTTAAATAATCAACGTTTAAACGGTAACGTTGATTTAACGTTGTGACATAGTTGAACAACGTTGAAACAACGCTTCAACCGAATTTCAACGTTGAAACAACGTAATAATGCCGGCTGGGTTGTTTCAACTGCTCACATCTAAGCTATTCACACAAAAAAATAAAAAATAAAAAAATTTGACAACCATTCGATACCAAAACACTATTTGATATTTGAGGTAAACGAGGGTCATCTGTTTAATCTTTGGTTTCAACCTTTTATTACCTGGTGGTTTAGCCGACTGACTTTGTTACAACTTTTTTTTTTGTCCTCTTTTCAATAGAAACGATAATATAATTTTTTTTTAAACTAAAATGATTAGCATAAAATTCTGCACAAAATAGTGTTTTTAATTTTTATATTGCAAGTCTAAGTTATTTTTTCCCTTTTTTTTGCTTATTTAGTTTTGAGAGATTTCAAATTAAAGTCTTTCATGATTGCATTGTTTTATAAAATTTATTTTTTATATTGTTCGATTTGTCTGGTAAAGATGTTTATTAATTAGAAAAAATTATTCTTAAATTCATTATATTAGGCAAGTTATGAGATTTTTTCCTTAAACCATCCGGAATTAGATTACATCCGGAATTAGGGGGTTTTATGGTATTGTTTATCCAAATAATATTATCAAATTATATTATCATACGATATATTTAAAACATATATATGATTATATATATGGTATGATAATATAATTTGAAAATATAATTTATATACAAGTATTTAAAAGTATATACTTTATATTACAATGTATATAAATCATATTTTGTATTAAACACGTTGTGTTTGACAATATATTTTAAACGATGTATTTATATATACATTTATTTTTGTTTTCACTTTAACTATAAATTATGTCAAGAAATGGAATTGTAACAATAGTTTATAAATTGTAAAAAATCATAAAGAAAAAACAAAAAAAAAATCAGAGCAAAGTGAACACGACAATAATAATAGCAACAAATTGTCATTGAATATGAAATACTATTTTAAGCAACTTTTAGAGATTTGAAAATTAAAATTAATTACTAAATTTAAAAATATAATTATAATATACCGCAAAATATTGACATATCAAAGTTGTTTCTTCACGTCCGATAGTTTTACCTATTAGTTTAAAACCTGCTTAACCACAGGTAGACAAGGTGATACAAAACTTTATAAAAAGAGCGATAAGACCTTTATTTTGGGATTTCAGGTAAAAAAATTTATAAGCATTTAAGTGAAAAATAGTATAAATTTCTTTTGGTCCAAAATCTTTTTGCATCTTCCTCGACTGATGTGCAACAACTTTTTATTGCGAAATGTGTTACCGTTATAATTCTTTAACCTTTACGCATTAGATGTTTTGTAATGCGATGCCTAGCTTTCAAGAAATTAAAAATATGGGCATGATGGGCATTACTTGTCCATCTCCAATAACTACAGCAGAAGGTAGGTTTGGGTACCAATCTGAAATGAAAATATCGTGTCGTATAAATTACCATTGCAATGGTAAGTTTGGGTACCAATCTGGAATGAAAATATCGTGTCGATAATATCGTTTTGCGTAATATCGAGTCGCAAAAATTGTATAACAAGTATAAAACTGAGAATAAATATTTTTTTATATATTGATATTCTTTAAATTTATTCTATTTTATATATATATATATTATATATATACATCTATTTTTATAAATTGAAGATCTTAAAATCAAAAAGATCACAAAAAAGATGAAGTTCCATGAAAGAGCAACTGGCAAACATCGGATGATGTTGAATTCATGTAACGCCCACGAGTACGCAAAATTTCAATTGCAATCTTCACAAAAGTTTCTTTAGTTTTATGTTTTGGAATGTGTAATTTTATTTTTTTGCATTGTGGAGCATAGCTGCTTTCACATTGTGAACTCTCATTCAACAATACTTCTTTGTCACACCCATTCCTATTATCCAAAGAGTCTTTGTCACACCCAACCATATTATCATAAGAGTTTTTGTTATATCCGATCCTATTATCAAAAAAAACCTTCGCACATTCATTAAATAAAGAAGTTCTAACAAAATTAGAGTACGCATTTTCCTCTTCTTTAGTTAAAAAAAAAAGAGAGCCCCCTAATACAAAAAATTGAGCATTGATATCATCATCTAAAAGTTCACCTTTCGAATCAGGAAGAGCAAGAGAACTTTGATTAATTAGAATGCATTGACCACGACGTAGACGTGGAGCAAACATATGTAATCTTACCCCACGATTCTCTTTTATTGAACGAAAAATTGGAAGTAACTCGTTTGCTTCAAAAGAGCTAATTAAAACGTAAGTAGCGGGGCCTAAATGATTCTTAGAAGCGACTACTATCACCCAAGAAATTTCAAAGAGAAAATCATCACCACTATCAATATCTTCAATAACCATAGTAAACTCATTTGTTACCATAAAGTTAGGGCTCAAACCATAAATCGGCATCAACTTTGAAATTCGATTTGTATTTTGAAAGACTTTATGAATTGGCAATATCTCAGCATTCTCATTTGTTATTATTCCAGTTTCGACTAAATCTCGAACTTGTTTTGACAATTTTGGTTTATGTGGATTTTGAGGACCTGGGCGTTCTACTTGACGTTCTTCCTCTAACTCAGCTTCTAGTTCTCTTTCTTGTTCTTCGTCAAGTATATTAGCAAAGCGTTTATATTTAGATACAAATTTATTGATGCGAGAGATAATATCTGCACCACTCATGGTTAATCTTTCCACAATAGTTGCTATATTTTTTTCATTAAATAGTTTTACACGTTTGTCTAAACTACTCTGAACAATTTTAGGAATAGATTCTAATGATCGAGATCCTCCGTAAAATTTATTCAAACATATCACTTCCTCTTCAGAACACATATTACCAAGTTCTTGAAGACTATCTAATGTCACATTATCTAATGTGTTATATTCCGTGGTGCTGTTTTTAAACATAGAATATTCAACGGCTTCCTTTGTGGCGTAGCGTATTCCTTGAGATGACCATTGCAAAAGTCCATCACGAATAGCATTACAGCTGTTTATAAGTGCCCATCGCAGTACATCAACAGCTTCCGGAACTATGTCGCATGATTTCATTTGACTTACAATAGATATGTGGACATCCTTTGAGGCGCAGAAATAAACGCTATGTCCTTTGCCTAGTAATCGCATACGCATGCAGGCTTGAACAAGGCGATCTTTTGTGAGTCCTTTACCCAAGGTAACACAAGCAATGGCGTTCATGGGAAATTTTAAATCTGTTCCCCTGGTATGAACATCATCAAGATATATTACACATTTGTCAAGTGAGTGTAAGTATGGAGAGACTGTAAGTAATGAAGTACGGCCTTTTCTATCACATACCATTAATCTATCTTCCGTGTCTAAATATACTGCAGCATATACTTCAGAAGCTAAAGACATTTTTAGCCACTCTTGAGCAACCTTTTTGTTATCTAACTTCAACATTAAAGCACCTACATCAATCAAAACGCAAGCCTTTGTTTCAATCAGTTTTTTTAAAATACATTCTTCTAATTTTTCTACGCACGAATTTATGTAATAATAGGTTTTATTTTCAGGTTGAAGTAAAAAGCTTAACACCATAGCATTGGTTCCCGAGATTTTAGGTAAATCATTTTGAATAATGGTTAATGGAAGAAGCAATTGTGATTCGTTTGTGCCACTAAAGCCAGTAGTGAAGTTTTTTGATTCAGCTTCAAATTGAGTTTTCAAACATAAATCCCACGCTGACGTTGAAATCTTGAAAGGAAATTGCTTTGCTTCTCGTGGATAAACAACTCGGTTTAGCCAAAAATTTACCACGCTCATACTGTATCTTAAAAGAGAATATAAATGCTCTTTTTGCTCAATGCTGTCTAAATTAACACCATTCAATTCATGCAAATAGTTTGGCACTTTATCAATTCCAATGGCTTTTATCCATTGTCCATATGCAACTTCTTTATTTGTGCATTTATCTAAATGTATAAATACTTCATCTAGCTGGCTTTCACTAAGACCACTCATATAGTAACTAATTTGAGTCAAAAGAATAACCATATCAGGATGACCAAACTCAGTTCTTTCCGAGGCAACATCTTTAGCACGGAATGGCACAGCCATTTGTGATGAAGTATTTGATAAGCTAACACCAAAATTAACTCTCCATCGTTTTTGAAGTGCCATATGTAAAACTTCGAAGATAAGTATTCCACGTAAAATTAACAACTCTTCTTTTAAAACATTATTTTTAACAAATAGTTCAGAAAAACGCTTGTTCATCTCTGCGTCACTAATGTCGTTAGAGGTAAGAAATATTCTCGCAAAACTTTTATCACTTCGCTTTAGTTTTGCTGCAACTGAAATTTCTGGAACTTCGTTATTAAGTATTGAATCAACAATTAAGCGACACATGTAATCATACACTTCTTTGTTGTTAGTAAGAAACCTGATATGTGAAAACGAATCGTATCGAGATTTTTCTACATAATGTTCAATACAATCTTCGCCATACTTTTGAAATATTTTTTCTCCAAATTTATTAACTAATTTTAAAACTGCTTGAGAAATTACCCACCTCAGAGCACCACCGTCAAAATGTAACTGTTCACCAAGCGTGTAAACAACCTGGTATTTAACGTTTAATATTTCATCTGCTTCATCCAAGACATCGCAAATATGTTTTTGATGCCAGCAACGCAACTGGTAAAAATTTAAAGCCTCTTCAGATTTTTTGCGGCAATGTTCCAATGTTTTTAAATTAAGGGATAATCGATGTTCAGGTGTTGTTAGCATCAGCCCACGCCCCAAAAGACACTCTGTGTAGACTCTTAGAATCTTTAAAGGATTAAAGTTTATATCTCTGCGACACGGTACTATGTAAACTCGTCTGTTGAGAAGCCCACCAAGTTTATCCACAAGTAATTCAATGTTTGTGTTTAAAAGGGACCGTAACACATTTACTCGAACAACTTTCTCCGATGTAGCTAACGATACTGCAAGTAGAGGAATAATAACACTGGTTTTCCCTTCTCCCATGTTTAATTGTTGAACAAAGTTTTCATGAGCATTTATCATGCTATTAGCAACATCAATCTGAATGGGTCGAATTAAGAAATTTCCCTCAAGCTCAAGAATAAGCCATTCAGGATGAGAAGAAGGAATCCAATTATCATGACCTACGTTAATAACTTCTTGAATGAGAGAAGCACGAAATGTTTTGTTACTTATGTTTTGTTGATGTTTGATGTTTAGTTTAAGACATCTAATAGCTCTCTGTTCGGCTGTCCAAGATACAATTAACGCACCAACGCGATTAATTACACTTTGTGGGACTTCATAATTAGCATCGATTGCAAGTAATGTGCATGATAATGATGTTAATGGTAATATACATGGAATTATGGTTACGGGGGCAATTCTTCTCCATATTCCTCCATAAAAAAGAGCATAATCCACATTATCATTGTTTCGTGGCATCATAGAGTCTTCCACTTCCTTCCACAAATACCTGGGTTTAGAGTTAGATAAACAACTACGGCATTCGTTAAATATGTTATTATTTTCAAAGTCTATATCATTAAAAAATAGATAATCGTTTTTATAAAAATTATTGCTGTTTTCTAAGGAAATTTTCATAAACTCTAATATATCATCAAAGTTATCATGATCATCCTTTTGGAGAAGAGGCAAAGCTTGGAGAAGAGACAACACTTCCTCAGATTGTTTTTGTTTGTTCATAGTATCGCAACAAGTCTTGGTATAGAAGACTGGTACAGAAGAATTTTTTTGAAACAAATTTATTGCATCCTGGCTTTCTTCAAGGTTCTTAATTTCAAGTTTGATTTCATACGCGTTTGAAGAGCAAGGATCAGTACTTCTTGGATTTGATAGCGAAAAAGAATCCATTTTATTTAGCAATGTTACATTATCAAATTTAAGAACTGAGTTTGTTACTCGTATTTGGGATTCCACTTCGTTTAAAAAGGACTTAAGCTTACCATTGCTATCCCATCTTAAAAATAATTTCTTCACTTCTTTTTCAGCTGCATTTATATTAATGATATAATCCAACGACATTAAAGTTGCAAACATACTATTTTGATTATAATCGATATTGGATACCTTAGTGTTACAGATTGAATGAAAATCTACACTTTTTGTTTCCCATTGTTTTTTAGCAATATCTCCCAAAGTTTTTACTGCATTTTTTTTAAAGTTTTTGTATTTTGTTTTGTTTTCTTTTTTAACGCTTTGAATATTTTCTTTCCTAATTTCTTTCTTAATTACTTTGTTTATTTCTTCTAAATCAAAATCCGTCTGGTTAAGGCACTCGTAATCCCTTACAGACGGAGGCTCTACTTGAATATGCAGAATAGCTACTGCTAAAAGACTAAACAACAAGTCTATGTTTTCGCCTTTAAAAGCTAAAAAAGATAACAAAAAACTAAATTCAAAGCGATCCTCGCGGTTCTCATAAACATTTTGAGCTAATTCGTATAATTGCAAGTAACTGTTTAAAACATCGAAATTTGCAAGTGTAAACATGGTAGATGTTGGAAATACTTGTGGATTTTTTAAACTGTTTTTGGTTTTAATAAGTTCCCATAAATTAGAAGGAATAAAGCTAACGCCATTCCATTGATAATAGTTTTCCATTAATAATCGCGAATCATTATTACTTTGACGGTCATTAGTGTAAGACCATGCCAGCTTTCTTTTTGGAAATCCACCAATAATTTTTTCATTTTCATTGTGCAAATGAGAGCAAGAATTTAACTGTGTTCTGTTACGCCAGTATGCTCTTTTTGTTAGGGTGTTTAGTTCTAATAGGGTGTTTTCTTGTTGTTGTTTTTTTTGTTGCTTTGCTAGTTGTTGTTTTGTAAGAAACAATTCCTTGTACGTATCAGCATGAAAAAGTAAAATATTGGAGGCTAAAACCAAGCCCTCGTAGCCGTAAGTTGAGTGAAGATTTGGGAACCAGGTGACAGATTGTAAACGTTGTGTGTATACATCATTTTGTTTGCGGGTTGGAGCAAGTTTTGAAATTCTTTTTAGAGTATGCAACGCAGTTTGATCTAATGGTCTGCATGAGAAAGTGCGCCCAATCTGCAACAAGCGCATTGACGATTCAGTTCCTGCTAACCTTGTGAATGGATCTGGAAGCGAACTTGAAGTCATTGCATGAAGAAGAGATAGGTAGAGCCAGGCTTCTTGGTTAGCAGGACCGCGGAGTTCGCAAAGTCGGTCATCAATATTATAACAAAAATACGGTGGAGAAAATAATTCATTAAGTTTAATTCTCACATTTTGATGATTTGAAATTTCTCTTAATTCTATTGTTTTCGAATGTGGTACAATTAACACTCTTTGTTGGCTATTGATCGATGGTTCATTCTCATTTAACAGAAGACTATTTTCTAGTCCAATAAGTGTTCCAATATTACCTTGTAAGTCAGCGACAATTAAACCCATGTGCTCATTAGAAAATAACTTTCCAGTTTTTATTTCAACTTTAAAGGTTAAATCCATTCTAGGTAGTTCAGCATTAAGATCAAGATCTTCCGGTCCTGTTTTTATTTCCTTTTGTTCTATTTGCAATTGTTCATCATCTATTTGCATTTTTTCTTCTTCTGTTTGATACTGTTCATTGTCTACTTGAAATTGTTCTTGTTTTGTTTGAAACCTTTCTTCTTCTTTGTGATTTTTCAAGTTTGTCTTTTTTCCTTCTTTTTTTTGAATTTGAATTTGGTTTTTGAGTTCTTGTTGCAACTTATTATGTTTTTTATGTTTATCTACCCACAAGTGAACATGTTCTCTAAGTTCGATCCGTTCTAAGCAACTATATATTTCTTTAAAAGTGTTACTATTAATATCAACTAAATATCGATTTCTTTGTAAATCGTATAAAGTGTTCTTCAGCACATTAAATCGATATGGAAAGTGTTCTTCAGATTCAGCTTTAAAAAAATTAACGTCATCAAACTTAATTGGTCGAAAATAAATAACTTTGGTTTTTTTACAGATCCAATGACTGTATTTGTTTAAAAAAAAAATTGGGAAAAGTCCATTAAATACAGTAAAGGGAATCATTTCGTACTCGTCACCTGAGCTACGCCTTTCTACAATAACACATCCGTGTTTCCGAACTGAAAATACAAATCTTGATCCTTGAAAATTATGAATACTTATAAATGCAGACATCTGTTCAGCAGATGGTTGCACATCAAAAACATGTTCATCAAAAACTCTTTGGTAGTCAGATGATTTAGTAATGGTATCTGGAAGCCGCCCAACAGGATTACCGTCTACAAGAAATTTGCCACTCAAAATACTAATTTGCAATGTTAATGATGAGTTATTTGAAATAAAAGTATTAAAATACCATTCTTGTGATGGTCGTGGGCACGAAACCCAAGAATTCATGCAAACACCTTTGCAAAAATCTGCCCAATAACTGGAAAGAAATGTTTTGAATATATAGATGTTCTCTGAAGCTAATAATTTCATTGCAACATTTTCAAAACGCAACCCTATAAGTCTTACTCTTCGAAGCAAATTAATTTTCTCTATATCAAAAGAGTCATTGCCCAGAAGAATGTTATCGTGAATTCGAGCAACTGCACGCAGCCATGAAACCAGCGTTTTTTTGTTGATTACATATTCATGACATCTATCAACGTCAAAAGTAAGCGCTGAAAAAGCAGCGACTTCAATTAATTTAAAACGTTTTTCTTGGATTTCATTTGAACTATCTGTCATTATTTTTGAAAGTAACTTTTCGATTTCAATAGCCCATCTTTCAGCAATCTTTCGGCATTGTAACAAGAGTTCAGCAGCTTTAACGCGAATTTCTTCACTTGACAATGAAAATATTCTTAGAGCAATTATAATAACAATATGGAGTTGACTGTGTTTCTTCCAATTTTTACTTATGCTTTTTAAAAATGTAGATAAATATTTTATAAACACGTGACAAAAGCCATCATTTTGAAGATCAGCATGACTTTCAAAAAATAAAACAGGATTATTGATATCATTGTTTTCTATTGTACCATCTTTTTTAATTACAGGCCCCGCTTGCCATAGAGCTTGCGAAAACAAAGCGAAAACAGATGAACTATCAAAACTTAATGAACGCATTTCAATTGCTTTAAGCATTTTCCTAAGTTGTAAACGATGACCAGCACGCAATGAACCAAATGTTATAAATTCATCAAGTTGAAGATCCAAAGGACATTCGATCTTAGATGCTAGAACCTCATTTTCTGTATGAGTTGCCTCTGCAATCCATATCTCGTTAATTTGATATGGTTTGTTCCACGCTTTCATTGTGACAATTTTTTGTTTCAATTGTTTATGCTCAACAAGTTTACATTCAATACTTTTATTTTTATATTGCATAAAGAGTTTAATGGTAAGACCACAAGGTTTAAGAAACTCTCTAACATTGTCACAAAAATTTATATAATGAAATTTAAAGCGGGACCACGAAAGATATGATGCATCACTTCCTATGGAAACTAAAGATTTCGAGCATTCGGAACTGACCCAAGCGTGCAATTGTGGATGAGAACTCCAAGGCTGTAGAATGCGGATATCTTCAAATTGTTTGTTATTCAGTTTTTTATGAATTAAAAACAAAGCATCTCGAAGGCATCGTATGCTGACAGGTATACTTAGTTCAAAGACTATAGCGTTTTGCATCCAAACGCTACCTTCTGGAATTGGGTCTTCATAAAAATAAACTTTTATAGATTCAGCTTCTTTTAATATTTCACATTTGGAGCAACAACTAAAATAGCCACGACAATTCTCGTCATGTTTTCTTTTTTCATAAATTTCCATCAAATTTCTATACTCTTTGAGACACATTTCAAACTCTCTCTTTTTTTCTTCGCGTTTTTTCTCAGCGTACAAAAGAATATCTATTCGTTTTTGTTGCATTTCTTCACTTTCATTGGCTAGTCTTGGTCCAAATGAATTCATATTTACGTCATTTGATATAATGCTTGGATAAACGGCTTTTGTGTTTCTTTCTGCAAAATAGTTTCTAACAGAATGTAAATATTTCATGTCTTCAAATAACGGTGTTAGTAAGCTATCGAAGTTTTTTTCTTCAAAACTAGTATGATATTCAGCCAGTAATGGGTTTTTTTGTGTGGCAATAGAATCTAATGCGGCAGTTATGAGAAATAAAGTTAAACTCATGCGACTTAACCCAACCGAATCATTAGCGTATAATTTGATACTTATTTCAAGGTATTTAAAAAACAAATCAAACAGTTGAGAGCTATTTTTAAGAAAATGTGTGGTATGTGGCACAAAATCTTTCCACAACACCAGTCTAACCCAAACCTCAAAATCATAAAGTTTTATTTCTGTTTGGTCATTTTGACTGGTGACTGTTTGGTTATTTTGAGCGGCGTTTATAAGATAGTTTATATCAAATAGAAAGGTTTCATTATTCCAGCGATTAACACATTGAGGATCTTTTACATTTATTTTTGGATTTTCGTCTTCTTTAAATGCTTGATTTATTCGACTAACAGTCAATTCATTCAACTTATGAGTTATATGGTCAAATGGACGAAGCTCTGAAATATTAACCTTTGAAATTTGGGAACAATTTTCAGAGTGTTTATTCCAGCGACTATCTGCTTCTGCTCTTTTTTTTTGCAAAACATTACGTCCATTTTTAAATACAGTTTCAGTCCACTTAATTGTTTGATTAGATAATTCCATATTATTGATGTAATTGTTTCCAAGACCCCTATTGTTTATATAGTTTTTCAGTTTAACCATTCTTCTACTCACCTTGCTCAACATCTGCATAATAATATCATTATCATTAAAAGTGATTGGTAGATTTTCAATAAAACTAGACATGACATGAATCATCAAAGATTTGTAGACAACTGTTCCCTCGTTTTCCCCAAGTTCTTCCACGAGCATTATATGAAGAACACATTTAATTGCTAACCATTCTCCAGAGCGGCGCCACGGGTTTGCGAGTCCTTTTGCATAAAAAACTTCATGGCGTATTACCTTTTGAACAAGTTTAAAGTTATCATCTCCTTTTATTAATCCAGACATTGCTCCCAACAACCACGAAATAACAAACATGGGTTCAGCAACATCAAAATCATCAGAGTATTTGACACCAGCTTTGTTTGCTTCCGTCAACGTTTCTCCGAATGTGTGGTTGCACAATATAGCAACTTGTCTAGAAAATGTGTCAGATATAAACCGATCAAATGGAATCCAAACTGCTCTTTCTGGAAAAGTTTGAAACAAATCTCCTTCAGTCAAAACATTTTTATTATTTGGCAAAGCTCTAAACACACTCATAAGAGCATTTTTACCGTGTTCAGATCTTCTAATTGTTATAACAGAATTATGAGCTCGAACAAATACCGCAAATGTTTGACCAGTTTGCAAAGAAACAAGTGCCTCCTTAACTTGAATTTCATTAACTGAGCTACTTTGTATATTTTTCCAAATCTCCATTGTTTTTCGAACAGAGTTTAGACCTGGCATTTCTGCCGGGATGCCCATTTTGGGCATGTTAGGTAAATAATTAAAAGTGAATTGCACTAGCGTTCCAGAGAGATTTGCCTCCTCCTCTGTTTGTGGCAATCGTCGAGTTAAAAATGCATGATGAATGACCATGTCTATTTGGTTAGGATCTTCAATCTGAAAATGTTTACTCTCCATTATCGATTTTTCTAAAATAAATAAAATTACAGGTGGAAATTTTGTTAAAAAGAGTAAAACGTTAACAACATTTAATAAATAAAACAAAGGAGCACTTGGGCACTCGAAGAAGACCGTTAGGTTTTGTCACCAAGAACCGCTGAAGTTAAACGTGATAAACAAAGTATCTAACTATTTTTCATATGGGTTTTTAAGAAAAACAAGAAGGAAAAGGAAGAATAATCAAATTAAGTTGATCCCTGCCCTAACCCTGACCTTTCGATGTGTTATCAACTCCGTTGCGAGTTCTCCCTAAATCATTCGATATATGTATATTAGGGGTGTTCAAAAAAATGAAATAAAAAAATTAGCGAATACACATCAAGCTAAATTTTAAGCAAAAAAAAATTATGATTGGAAAAAAAAATTTTAAAAATATTGAGATTTACCTTGTGCTCAAGGGTCAAAATACCCCCAAAAATGCCACAAGTAGTACCCAAATAATAAGGCTTTGAGCACAATGTAAATCTCAATATTTTTAATTTCTTTTTTCTTCAATGTACTAATAAAGGTCAAAACCTTTTTCATAAATTGATTTGTGTTCTGGATGTATCGTAATTTTTGTTTAAGTTAAAAAGGATTTTGAAGAAAAATACGCAAAATTTGTTTTATAAGACTTTAGCGTATTTTTTAACAAAAAAACAAAACAAAAAATGCGTGTTATAATCTTTCTTCTTTTTGAAATCGTTTCAATTTTTCTCACTTTATAAACAAGCTTTTATTTCAACCTATTTAAAATAAAATAGAATAATAAAAGTCATTTAAAGAAAACCCAGACAATTGTAAAATTAATATATATTGTATATTAATACAAATTTTAGTATTGTCTCATATTTAAAAATAAATAAATAAAATACGTTAAAAATAAAATGGAAAGTTTATTAGATGATTTGATACAAAATAATAAAAAGTTTAATAAAAAAAGTTGCGAATGGAAATAGTGAGATTTAAAAATTTATTATTGCCAAAGTCAAACAGCCATATCAGCTAATAAACTTGTTATCAACTTTTTTAAATTTCAATAAGACTTTACTTTGTACAGAAACAGTGCTGTGGCTAGAGAGTCAGTTGCCTCACCCAAAACATGTCATTAGACTCCATAATCTTAAAAAACCTCTTATCGAAAAGTTTTTAAAGTGGAAAAAAGTCTTTAAAAATTGTTGTTCTTCCTCATTTGCGGGGCGTGGGAAGCCTATACACTAGCCCTGCATAGGATCAACCTGATTTTTTTGTTATCACTTTTAATTGAATAACTTCCAACAAGATTATTCACCATATCAGCCTAAAACATGAAAGCGTGACTAAACTTTTTATTCACTCTGCGAATCCTTTAACAAGAAAGAAAGTTGGACGCTTTAGTCTTCTAATTACTGAAAAGTATGCTTTAGTATACTATAAATAGTGTAGAGCGGTGGCGTACGGATCTGAGTCACTATTCCGGGCAGCACATTTATGAGGCATCACTGGACAATTAAAAAATACTGAAAGTATTTTATTATTCTTATTATTTTTATTTTAGTGGTAGGGTGGGGGGAATCCAGTAAATTTTAAATGATCTACTCCGGGCATAATGAAGTTTTGTTGCGCCCCTGGTGTAGTGTTTAGCTTTTTCCTTTGATTTTATTCAAAACAAAGTTTACCAATTAAAGGTAATCAGCTGATAAATACAAGTTATGCTCTTTAACCAGGAAATAAAAGCGCACTTGGAATGAACAAGTGTATATATTCCGAAATGATCAATAACATTTTTAAAGTTATTTAGCTTGCTATGGATCATTAGTAAAGTATTACATCACTTTGTTAATAATACATAGCTATTACAACAGCCATTAACATAGATTGATAGCAGAGCGGATAGCGCTATGACTTATGAAGCCGGAATTCAGTGTTCATAACTATTTTTAATTGTTGCGGCTCGTTGATTAAGAGCATCTGCAGAGAGCATAGAACCAAAGATCCATTTAATGTGAGTTCTGGGTATATTGTCCAACATCAGTAGAGAAAGAGGCGTAAGTTTCGTTGTAAAATGCCCTTACTCTGTGCTCTGTGATAAAATTATTTCTAGATTAGAACTATTAAAACCTTTTTTTGGTAATATAACTATATACAATGTTGAATCAAATACTAAATTATTATGTTTTTATACAACAACAAGCAAAACAGAAAATCATAAACTCCAATAAGAATATTTACTGTGCTAAATAAGTATATAATTTGCTTAACTTGCAGGCATCATGTGGCTAATTTCAAATACACATGGTATCTAGACTCAACTCTGATTCTTTTAGATTTAATGGATGATGGCGTTGTACTTAAAAAAAAAGGCAGCAGCATTTCCGAAACAAAATTCATACTACTTTTAAACAAAAAATAAAGATGCTGAGAAAAGTTATAAAAAAAGTGATAAGATTTGAACTACGTAATTATGAACAACCTATATTCGACTTTATGGTTTATTTTTAACCTGTTTGAATAGAGGAACAACAAATTGGGGACTAGTTAACCTTGCCACATGTGCATTGTGTTACACGCAATCATCATAGAAATTGTTTCTAAACTTTGCCAAAAGTATTGTTTGTATAAATATGTGGGCAAAGTCAAAAACTGATAAAAAAATACAAAGTGCAAAGGTAAAGGGGGAGGCAGAGCGGTTTTTGAAGGGCAATGATATATCCCCCCCCCCAACTTTTGAAATTGCTCTGCTGCAAACGAGCAAAGATTGCTCTATTCTTTAGGAATTTGACAACGAATTGTTTTTAATTAAGAATACTATTAACCAAGTGTAAAACAAGATTCAAAAAAGAACTATAGTTGCTGAACATACTTACAGCGTACGCTTCAAAATTCCAAAGATAATTTGAATCTTTGTATTAGTTTAAAAAAAGCTGAAATTTGCAAATAATTCAAAAAATTTAATCCTTTACTAGACTTAAAAAAAATTTCTAAAATAAAAATTTAAACGAAATATTTTGTATTATGACATCGAACAATGTGATTTTATGCAAAGATGTAAAAATATTTAACACTGTTTTCTTAATTTTTCCTACAAAATCCTTTTTAATTTAAACAAAAATTACGATAAATCCAGAATACACATCAATTTTTAAAAAAAGAATGGACCATTATTAGTACATTAAAGAAAGAAAAAAAAGAAAAATATTGAGATTTACCTTGTGCTCAAAGCCTTATTATTTCGGTACTATTTGGGGCAATACTTTTTTTTTTCTTTTTTTGAATTTTTTTTTTCCAATAATATTTTTTTTATATTTGCTTCAAATTTAGCTTTATGCGCATTCGCGTTTTCGATATTTCATTATTTTGAACACCCCTAATGTATATATATATATATATATATATATATATATATATATATATATATATATATATATATATATATATATATATATATATATATATATATATATATATATATATATATATATATATATATATATATATATATATATATATATATATATATATATATATATATATATATATATGTATATATACATATATATATATATATACATATATATATATATATATATATATATATATATATATATATATATATATATATATATATATATATATATATATATACATATATATATATATATATACATATATATATATATATATATATATATATATATATATATATATATATAATTTTTTTTTTTTTTTATCATGTTTGTTTTGCTCTATAAATATAGATGGCCAGGGCAAGAAGAAGACACAATTCGTCTTATCGCCAAGCCCCGAGAGTTGATTCCGTAAAATAAAAATAATTAAGTACAGCATATATAATTGTTACCAGTATATATTTAAAAAAAGAATATATATTTTTAAATAAGAATAAGGGAATAAATAAAATTAAAATTTTGAAAAAATAAAGTAAAAAGTTAAATATAAAAATAGAAAAAACAAATTGGTTTAAAGAGTTGGATTAACTCTTTAAGAATAAAAATAAGTAAAAAAGATGTTAATTAATTAAGATTGAATACTAATTAATATTATTAATCAAATATCGATAAGGGCCTGAATCTTTCCATATATAAAATATATATATATATATGTATGTATATATATATATATATATATATATATATATATATATATATATATATATATATATATATATATATATATATATATATATATATATATATATATATATATATATATATATATATATATATATATATGTATATATATATATATACATATATATATATATATATATATATATATATATATATATATATATATATATATATATATATATATATATATATATATATATATATATATATATATATATATTAGTGATGTAAATTTTCCAGTAAAATTTGATTCAAAATTTACCGGTAAAATTTACCGGTAAATTTACCGGTAAATTTTAATTAGAGAACGGTAAATTTTCCATTAAAAATCAAAAAAAAAAAAAAAGGAAAAAAAAATAAGTGAAAAAAATTTTCAAAATTTACCAGGCGGTAAATTTTCAAAATTTTCCGGTAAATTTTCCGGTAAATTTTACCTTCGCAACACTAGTATATATATATATATATATATATATATATATATATATATATATATATATATATATATATATATATATATATATATATATATATATATATATATATATATATATATATATATATATATATATATATATATATATATATATATATATATATATGTGTATATATATATATATATATATATATATATATATATATATATATATATATATATATATATATATATATATATATATATATATATATATCGTGAGATTTTACCTTCAAGATAATGTATTTGTTATCTGTCCAAGTTACGTTTTTGTGAATAAGTACGCCTAGAAATTTTAATGATTGTTTTTATTTTATAGCTTGACTGCCATTACAAAGTATTGAAAGTTTTAAGGGTATTTTATCGCGTTCATGAAGGCGATGGAAAAACG